GCGCAAATCTATCAGGCAGAAGAACAAGAGAGGCAATTGTCCCCAGTTTTGATGACTGGCTGGATCGCAGTTCCGGCTTCCTAACATATAGAACAACTCAGCTCTTGACAGGTTATGGGTGTTTCGGCACCTACCTGCATAGGATTGGTAAAGAGGATTCTCCGATCTGCCGGTATTGCGACGTGGAAGAGGACACCCCAGAGCACACCATAGAAGTGTGTCACTTCTGGGCCTTAGAGCGAGGTGAACTCGCTGCTGCAGTTGGCCAAAACCTTTCCCTGGGAAATATTATCGCTAGGATTTGCAATTCCAAAGAACGATGGAACGCATTTTCAACCTTTGCTGAACGCGTCCTTCAGCGCAAGGAAGATGACAAGCGTAAGAGACAACAACAACAAATAATCCTCGACCCGGGATGACTGCGTTTTCTGCGATGTTGTAGCGGCTTCATGTATTGCGTGCGGTTCTCTCGATGCGTTTTATTTATTGCGTGCAGACGGTGTCTTCCGGCCGTTCCTGGGTTGCCCGGGCGCGGGCCGGCTCTAGCTCTCCTCCTCCTGGGGTCCGGTGGGTCGCTTCGGCGACGTTCCCGGATCCCTGGGGGGTGGCTGGTTGGGGCCGGTCGGCGTGCGGGTTTCCCTATGGGCGGCCGGATGACCCCGTAATAGAAAATTAGATATAGATTTATATATATTCATTGCGTCTTACACTTTTTCTAATTCTTTCTCCTGGGGACTCCGCTGCGCTGGGTCGGGGGCTCCCTGGGGGTTGGTCGCCCGTGGTTTCGCCGCTCACTGCTGTGTTGCGGGGCTCCGGCCCCACTGCTCTGCAGTGGGTTTGCCGGAGGCTCCGTTGTGGCTGCGGGGTGCGGGTGGTCGTCCTTCGGGGTTTCCTCGGCCTGCGGCGGGGTTCTCGGGATCCTTTCTCATTTCGCGCTCCTCCCTCCCCTTTCCCCCCCTTCCAGGGGGCCTGGGAGTGGGACGGGCGTGATCGTTACTACAGCCGCTAAAGCGGCCAGTGATGCGGACTTTGAGTCCGACTGTTTTTCCCGGTGGTGGGTATATGTCAACCCTCAATGTTAACGAGTTTAACTCGTGGTTTTTTATTTGTGTGGAACCTCTCTCCGGGTAGAGGGGTTCCTGTTTGTCTGGTACGTGCATGTCCTATGGCCCTGTGCGTTCTTCCTTGGGACGTCCGTGATTCCCTATGGAATGGCCACGCAGCCAATGAAAAGCGTCCCTCAATGATATGACTGTCCGCGGTCACTATCATGAGGGCCTCCGAGGCGGTCGAACGATGGCACTTGTGTCAAATTTTCGACTAGTGAGTCATCCCGGCGGGTTTCGCGACGTCCCTGTTTGATCCTCCGTGTGATCTCGTCTCTGGTTTACGTATTTCTGTCGCCTCTGCGAGAGGACTGTTGTGGCACGTGATGTAATACTTCGAGTCTCCCGCGTGTTGCAACTGTTGTCCAGCGTGCTAAGTTAAGGAGAGGTTTTTTAGTGGGTGCAAGCCCCACATATCCCGGGGGACGGCCCCCGGTAGAATGCGCGAGGCATTTTTCCTCTTCCACGAAACAAAAAAAAAAGGTTAGGTTGTGACCGGATCACCGATGAACAATGAAATATCAAAGTATTAGCCACTTACTATTTGGGCTGTAATTACGGTCGCCACTGTATTTTCAGGCCTAAATACAGAAACCCGAATCGTATGCGTTGCCCCGTCCTTCTTCTCAGCTTAATGGCTGCCGTCTTCTACGTCGCGGACGTGTTCAAGGCCGTCGGCCACGCCCTGGTACTGCGTTGCGTAATTCACGGAAATAGATTTAGGATTCGCACTGGGGTCGCAAATAATCACTCGTTTGTTTATTATAAACAAATAACAATTTAATATTCCACAGTTTACAGTTTCTCTGTCGTCGCGTATCACTCGCTCGCGCAATCACTCGCCACGAGGTCCTTCTCATTCGAATGTCCACGATACAGAACTAATTATTACGACTAATCGTCGTTTCGCAATCAAGAGCGTGCTCGTTCGCTAATGATGTAATGTAGCGTTTGTATTAGGCCGTCGCGAAATAAGCCTTCTCAAATCGAGTAATTTTATGCGTAACCGTATTCACGATTCAACGCCTCTATATTCGCACAGAATATTCGCACTTGTCGTAGGCGATTACGGGATAAGTAATCGGTATCGAGTTTTGTCGCGTGCCCGACGAAACGTGTTCACGCCTCGATGTTCTCACGAAAACTGTCTTGCGTAACGCTGGTTGTTAATACTCGCGCTTATCGTAGGCGATTACGGGATAAGTAAACGGAATCGAGTTTTATCGCGCTACCGTAAAACGTGTTAACGCCTCGAAGTATATCCGTAGACTGTCCGGGAGAAACGGTTCTCATTCCCCCACTTTAGTATCTGACGCAGGCGCGCCGCTCCCCATTTCGGCGGGAATGACTCGGTATCGCGCGCCTTTCTCTCTCAACCAATCGCGTCGCTTGAAGACGAACGACACGATCCTACTATTCACGGCACATTGCCCTTGAAAGCTGAACCGTTGTGATTGGCTCAGCTCGTTCGGATCAGAGAAACTGCGTTCGGATTGGACGGCGGACAAGGGCTCTCGCTTCGACCTCGGCGATGCGGCAACCAATGCCAGCCGTCGCAACGGGCACAAAGTGCACCTTCGCGGCTAGTCACTCGGAACGGTTTCGAGTGACCTTGTACGGTCATTTTGACGTTCCTGGACATTGCAGGTAAGTAATCTATCTACCGGAATCAAATCTATTAATTCCCCTCTCTTTTCAGGTACCCGCGTCTCATAGGATCGTCTCGCTTAATCAACGGACGTTATAGGCTTACCAGTAATGACAACGTCGGTAAGCATAAGTAATACATGACATGCATTAAAATATAATAAAAGTTAATTCTCTCGACAGGAAAATATAAAATAATAATATTAATAAGCGAATTCACGCGTTCCGACACTATCTCGCTTCGTTGAGCCAATCTGGCTTCCCATTGGTCGGTTTTCCGCGATCACGTAAAAAGGTTGCGCCTCGCGCTTTCATTGGCTCTGGGCCTCGCAAAATCGTAAACTACTCTGAAAACTTGCAAAATAAAATCAAAATGCCAGGAATCGTTCCTATTGGCTGTTACTGTATCGAGAATGTTTGCTACTGTCAAATCTATCGAAACTAACGCTAATCTTAATAAAATCGACTGGGTCGCTGCCTATTGGTCGTTTCCGGTCGACATGACTGTTTTGCTGTCAAACCGTTAAATGTTAATGCAATGAATGTAAAAACCGTCTATCTCGAACCCCATTGGTCCATTCTCGTGAAAATTATATCCGCGGCTCATCATTCGTCAACGATCACACTCGGATCGATATCGATGCTTAGCAATAAAATAATGTGTAAAGCGTAAAAATCAATGTAACTGTCTGTACGTCTGGGAAGGATATTATTATGGGAATAAAGATTATTAATGTCACGACTAAGTATTCCTTCAGCCGCATGATTCTGATTGGTTGTTCTAAGTTAGATAATAAGGTTCTGCTTTCACCCGGTGTGAATAGGCTAGTAACAGTATGCATATGATCGCTATTGCAAATAAAATGAAAATAAATGCCAAAACTACAATACGGAATTTATCCGAATCCATCTCTTTTAAAATTATGACCTTGGCCTCCTATTGGCTCTTTTCTTTATTTTTATGACTCTAATGACTCTAATGACTTTAATGTGTGAATTATGGGTTGTCGGTGTAAGGATTATTGGGATTGGTCAATGTATGTGTTCGTAATGTAATATAGTCTCGTTTCGACGTCAGTCCTGTTTTAATCTATTTCTTATACATAACCTGCGCTCGCTTACGCCTATTCGCGCATTTACTCCCACACTTCTAATAAATCTTATAAAACTCTCCGAATATAAAACTCTCGTGCTCATTGGCACTTGTCGCAATCAATCTATAAAATAAACTAATAAAATCAAAGAAATAATAAAATTGAATCGAAAACTTAATCCTTCTCGCTCGGAGATTCTCTTTGGCATGCGTTACAATATTTCGCGAATAAAATATAATAGAATGAAAATATAAATCAAAAATAATAATACACACGAATAAATCATATAAAAGAGTTACATATAATATCGACAGTCACGGCTCACAGTTCCGTGAACTGCGATTGAGTCATTGGCATCGCCGCCTCGATCACCTCCTCCGCTGCTGGGGATTGGCTCGTAGCTGCGACGACAACCTCGCCTGGTCCAGCGGGCTGTTCGGGTTCCTCCTCGAGTATTATTGCCTCCGCTACACCCTCTGGGATCAGCTGGAGGATCTGCGCGACCTTGGTGTCCTCCTCGACGGTCAGCTCCTCCTGATTGGCCACCTGGGTCAGTGGCTTCGTCGGCTCGATCGCGCCCGTCCTTGGCACCTCTGCTCTCTGTTCAGTCATCGGGTCTGTGAAGTCGGTTGCGGCACAATCAGAACTCGACGTTGGAACGAGTGACTTGTCACCCGGTTCCAAGGTTAGGTTGTAACCGGACGGTACTATTGGAGGCACGAATCAGCGCTACGTGTCTTTAGAAATCAACGGTCGCCACTCGGTTTGACCTTTGAACCACCGAGAAGGTAAGTATCGAACGATCTCTCTAATTATTAATTAGACTAATTAATCTTCTTTTTTCAAGTTCCTGCCACCGCTGGATCATCGCCGTCGCCGATCAGGATCGTCGCTGCCACCGGAATCCAGGATCAACGAGGGACTTCGAGTGATCGACGCCAATGGATCAGGTAAGTAGAAGGTAAGTCCAATTGAATAATTTTCGAAATCTTTTACGAAAAAGATGTTTAATTTATTCAATTATATTGATTTCCAATGTTGGTTGTTCACAAAACTTCAAGTCACAAAAGATGTCGGACGCTCGTATACGTGGGCACACACGCCCCGTCAATCTACGACGCACGAAGTTATTTCGGTCTAAAAAGGCCGTTCGTCTTTGTAAAGACGACAATTAACGCGTTCCGCGGGCGTTCCCGGTTGTTATGAATGTTGGCGAATCGCAATTATCGCACTCGTGTAACGTTCGCGGTGACTTAGCGCGGTAACGACAGAGCGAGGCTTATAGCGTTTTTTCTTGGAACGCACTGAGGGCGTACTTGGTGTAGCCTTGCACTGTACCAGTTTAGTGTAAGCGCTGCACTGCACTCAAGTAGTGTACACACACTTCATGCTGTCGTGTTTATTTCAGACCACGGACTTGCGGCAATTTTAAGTTGCATTCAGGATCTTTATTCGGTAAAATAATGTCGGACAAAATGTTTGTTTACTTTAAAGTTAATAAAGATTGTGATGTTGAGATGGAATACGTAGCTGATCAGAAAGAGGAGTATGATCGGATTTTAAGTAAGTAAAATATGCGTGTATATTGGAGGTTATTTTTTATTTTATTACATACATTAACATTAAAACATTACTACAGGGTCCGGCAATTGATATGATTCGCTATGTAAAACGCTATAACTTTTTTATTGTTGAATAGATTTTATTTAATTTGGTCTTAATAATTTCAATATATCCTTCTTTGGCCTTTACGGTTAGGCGAAATCTCTTTGATAAACAATTCACACAATGTTCGTAGGATATTCTGCTAGTCAAGACCGTCCCACTCTGTTTAGTAATGTTCGGTTTTGTTCATCGATAGTGTTGTGTCGATATAATCACAGTAACCGCAATACTCGCCAAACCTGAATCCACTCGACTTCTACGTATAGCACAGTAGATAATTTTATTGTTTGATGTTTATTGATATTTCTTAATATTATTTGTGTTGCTAGATGATAATAACTTTGCAGTCAACAAAATATTGTCTCTTATTAACTCTGGACAAATTAAATGTAAAGGCAAAGTCGTTGAAATTTTAAGAGGAAACGATTTGGACATGCTATATGGGTATGTAACCATGCATACTTTTGTATTGGATTTTTATTGGATATTATTTAATCTTATTAATTTTCAATTTAAATATATTCATACTTAAAATAATACAGATATAATCTCTCATTATTATTATTTTGACAATCCGCTATCGTAGTATCATGTTTTACAAATATGACGAAATATCATAGGAATCCTGACTGCATTTTCGTTGAGACCGACACCAGCGACTCGGAAAACCAACATCCAAGGGGCATAAACATAAAGATAGATGCTACCAGTCCAATGTCTTCTTGTTCAGGAAGTGGTGAAAATAAAGGTGACAATAAAGGTGACAAACAATTGAACAAATTAAAAAACTACATTAAGAATGAGAAATTAATGATTGAGTAGATATGAGTACAAAATTTTGAAAATGTGATTTATTTCTTTGTAGAATTCGTTTCGAGATTTATATGAAATAATCAGAGTAATAATTGAGCCTATAAAAATAAAATAATACTGATTTCAGATTGGCAAGATGACGAGACCAAATATTTATTGGATCAGGTTTATGCCTACTTACCAGTAATCGGTCCGCAAAAAAAATTTAAAACAAAAAAAGCAATGTGGTTAAAAATTGCAGAAGAAATTTCACAGAAATTCTGCAAAGTACGAACATCTATCCAAGTTGAGAACCGGTACAAAACTGTTTTACGGAGAAAGAAGTCTGCAGTTGAAAATAATTCCGGATCAGGTAATTCGAGGCAAGATGTACCCTTCGAGGAAGAATTACACAAAATTGCTTCCACCGATGACAGCATTGAGCCGGAAGTTGTGAGAACTGCTACAGGTGTCAAGAGGTTTAAGAAATCAGACGATTCTGTAAAAATAAAGAATAGCTCACCAGGAAACAAAAAGACTGTAAGTAAATGTAATACTGATTACCTGTATTACAAAAACTTTCTGTAATATGTACAAATCAAATAGAAATTTTTTAAGGATGAGCCTTATTTCAATAAATATTAAAATTGTGTTATGAAATAAATCGTTACGTATAATGAAATATTGCCGTAAAAAATGACTTGGGTTTAAACAATTTTAAATTTTTCAAATTTTTTTGAAATTATTGTTTCTACAAAAACTTTGATTGGTTTTGCTTTCAACTGTCCTGATCGACACTAACTTTTCTATTATTATTAGGTATCTATCGCAGAAAAATTGGAAGAACTACATGAGAAGACAGAAACAGCTCGAGAGAAACAACACCAAGAAAAGATGGCATTGATACGCGAATTGTGGAGTGGAAGGCAGAGAAACCCTGAAGTGAGGGAGTGACAGACTAAGACAGCAGACATCCATAATGGAAATAATTTATTTTAGTTATTTTTACTTAATTTTTTTAAAGCAAGTCATATTCACGTTCCTAAGTGCTTTACACTTTTTTTATGATTCGCCGGAGGAAACCAAAGATTTTATTAATTATTAAAGAAAGGCATTATTTATTTGATTTATTTTTAATTTATATTTGTTTAGTTTTGTTAGATTTGTAACAGCACAATGTTTATGTTAAGTAATTCACGTTTGTCGGATTTAGTTGTTCAAAAGCAAGCAATGTTAAATAAGATATTCACGTACTTAAGTGCTTCACAATATTTCTTGATCAGCGGGAGGAAAAAAGGTTTTGTTTAGTCATTAAAAAAAATGTTTAGTTTTCTTAGATTTTAGAAGGCACAATGTTAGTGTAAAATTATTGTAAGATTCAGCTTGCTCAAAAGCAACTAATATGTTACTTAACATACTTGATAAAAACTGATACTTGCGATGTGTGATACCTATTTTAGAGATATTGGGCACAACAAAAGCAAACAAATGGTTATGACAAAATATATTTTATTAGAGGCACTGCATTATTCTGAATCGTTTCAATTCCCCGATATTTTTCAGATTGTCTTCTGTATTATCTTCGTGATCAGCTACGAATGGCTCCTCTTCATTGTAGGGAATGTCATCTTCATCCCATATATCGTTATTGTCTATGCACAGATTGTGCAAAACGCAACAATAGACGATAAATTTCGTGATCTTTTCGACTTTATGCATATCGATCTGCAATAATAGTTGTCGAAACCGTGCTTTTAGTATACCGAAGGCATTTTCAATACGTACGCGAGTTTGACAGTGTTTTTTGTTATATCAATTTTCCATTTCTCCTAAATTCCCATAGTTTTTGAATGGCACAAGTAGCCATTCGCGTATCGGATAAGCGGAATCACCTAAAATGTGACAGTTTTTCCCACATATTTGTGGCAGCTTCTGTTTGACATCGCTTAAAAGGATCTTGCTTCTTCGTCTAAGTCATCTGGAAATTTGATGACTTGTCCCGCAATTTCAGTCAAATATTTCATGACTCTGTTACATTGGTAAAAAACTGTTCTGAGAGAGATTCCAAAAAGCGTCGCGATACACCGCAATGATTCCTTATTACCAGCAAACCACAGGAATACCAGCACATCTTCTTCTGGCGACTTTCTCTCAATTCCTCCATGATTATTTAATGGTGGGCAAGATGATTGTTCATATTTCTCAATTAATTTATAAGCCGTATCCTTGGTCAATCGGAAATGTCTTCGAAACTGAAATTCGTAAAGCAAATATATGTAATTAATAGACAGACACATACTTTCTCAGAACAAGTCCAATATATTTCTATTCTCAGCAAATAAAAATGGATTAAAATAGATTGTTTGATCCGTGCCGAATCCAAATTCTGATCTTTTGAATCCATTTCTATCTAATTACTGAATTTTTTTAAATTCATTTTAATCCATGACACGGGATTGAAACGACGTGATTCCTATTCTTTCAATCCAAAAAAGTTACGCGGGCCGTGAATCCATTTCAATTCATTACACGGCATTAAAATAAAGTGAATTATTGTATATTCTTTCAATCCAAAACAGCTTCTTGAGAAAACACAGTGATTGTAATTCTTTTAACACAGAAAATATTTTTCTTGTGAATTCAACATTTAAAACACAAAAAATTTATTAAAGCATTCTGTTAGCCGTTCAGACGGCTGAAGGGGTCGTGCTCCGCTCGCGAGCTCGGAAGGATCGGGATGAGGGCGTCTGGCGGGCTCGGTTAATGATCACACTTTGTTAAACACCACTTTAACACTTTATTAAATATACTAGAGCTTGGCTTGGACGAGGTGTTCTTTATTTAATGTTCCCGTCTCGCGATTCTTAAATGTTTCAACGCGACGTCGTGGAGTTCTCAGACCGACTGCCTAATCG